GCTGCTTTCGCCACCGGTAACCAAGGGAGACTGGAGCCTATTTCTTGAACGTGAGCCTCTGCCTAACCCATGAACGCGGACCTTTTTAACCCGGGTGACGTCCGAGCCAGTATCATACTTAGATCTGGTTACTACCATGATAAATATCTCCACAGAATGTGGGTGTGTGGTCACTCTTAGCTTCATTTCTCCCCATAGACCTTACTGGCATGGGTGTCCCTACCAGGAGCTTGTGCTCCAGCCTGCATTGTCCTACGGATCAGTAAAATTACTGGGCCCTCCCACCACGACCAGGTGGTGACCACGGGAGAGTTATTATTATTATTATTAAGTTTTTCATTTTTTCAAAATTTATTTATTTACATCCATGAGTCAAAGACAGACTCTTCTTGTCTTTGGTTATCACTTTTGTTTGTGTAATAAAAATACAAAGTTCTTGAGTAGTTCATAATAAAAGTATTCTCATAATAATTGTGACCATTTTAGCTAATGTCTATTTAATTTCAAGGTCTTCAAAGGTTGTTCAGTAAAAACAGTTTTCTGTTTTTAAAAAGCATTAAAAGAATCTGCAGGTATACCTGAATTAATGAAGAGGATATGTTTCATGAAATTACTTTGAAAATAGTATTTTTACCTCTGCGAAACTTTGTTCTCTGAGGTAAATAAACTAGCAATGAATTGCTCAACTTTCCCAGCAACATTTAAAATTTTGGTGGTGCCATCTGTTATCATATTTTATTTTAAAAATCTTTTTATATTTTTAACTATTATAAAATGGCAAAATCTTAATTTTGAGGGTAACAATGAGATTTATAAAAAATTGTAAATGCTAATAACAAGTAAAATCATCATTAAGTCCAACCCTACTGGAGATATACATGATCCCTATTATCTCCCCACCCCCTCAACCATTAACCACCAAAATTTAATAGCATCAATCCCCTAATAAACAAACTGCCTTGCAAAATTTCAGAAATTTTCGACAAAGCACAGTAGTTATTAAGCTTCAAAAAAGGTGAACAAAATCATGCCCCCCACACATACACACACAAA